CCTTGTGTATGAAATATATGGAGATAACGAAGTATTCATGCTCAAAAGTCCATTAAACATTACAATTGCAAAATAGGTGCAGAGCAAACACGGACCTCCAAAACATCAGAGGTGGGATCAGGTGCCATGGAGGAGTGAGCATCCCCTGCCGACCGGTCACACCCGCCGTGTGCTCCTTGTCATGATCGAGAAATAACGGAAAAATCCGTCGACAATTCAGTGTGTAAAAAATGGCCTAACAAATAGTATGAAAAACGTCAGTCAGCATTTGACTCAATGATAAATTGTATTTGCTGACAAAGCAGCACAGTTAAGGCTGCAGTAAGGAGGCGGGGCCTAATTTATACGGGAAATGCTTACTATGACATCACGCAAAAATATAAGTTCTTCAAATTACCACAAAATGAAATGAATTGCTATTTTAAACTGTTGAATAGCTTTAAACTACATCAATACTAACTAGTGCATGCATTATTGTCGTTGGTTAAATCCCACACAGCAATATATAAACAATTCACTGATCGCAATGCACTTGTCAATGTGACGTCATATCGTAAAACTTGACGCAGTTTTTATGCAGTGAGAGGCGGATCAAGTTATATTTATAAAATGAAAAATGTATTTTGTAATTAAATAAAATATAAATTGTAGATATATAAAAGGCCATTAACTTGGATGCAATGTCTATTTTATGATTTTATTCATATACTTCCCGTACATTCCCCAGACAAGCGATACCGTCGTATATATTTGTATGCAGATTCATTGAAGGGTAATAGAAGGGTCGTAATAAATCGATATATTGCAAGGGCATACCCTCAATGAATTATGACTAACTTTTACACATAAACTCAAGAAGTATGAAGCTATTTGAAAAGTGCTGCGAACCTGTTGAAATCTTGCAAATGAATTAATTATATCTGTATTTAATGTACTTGACCAGCAAAATATTCAACATACGGTCTAACAAATGTAATTTTAGCAATTAGATAGTAGAATCTATATAGGTTCGCAGCACTTTTCACAAACTACAAAGAGTGTTGAAAAAAATTATATGTTAAACTTAGATTTTTAACTTGGTTATGCCCTTGCAATATTAGAATTTATAGATGACCTCAATACTTCAGGTATATTTGCTAAAATCACGTGACTGCCACATCACGCGACAAGTCTAAATAAGAAATCTAATCGTCATCAACATGTAGTTTTCAACCACATTGCATTTGTCCGATAATAGTAAAGTCCTAAAAAGAAACGCCCATCCTTGTAAAGAATGTATTTTCTATACAAAATATTCGCCGATATTTCCATTTGGCACCTTAACTGTACTGCGAAGGTCATTGTATCGACCATAGAACTTACGAAATGTTGACTTTAAACGAGACTGTAGATATTCTTGTTTCATCAACTTGTTTGTCAATAATTTACCTCGTTTTAGAAATTGTACATACGTAGAGCATGCTCTTGCGTATCGAATCAACTAAGAGATATAAACCCCGTATGCAGGTGACGAAGGTATATTGCTGCATAAGTAAGGGAAGTTGACGATTGAAAAGTTAAAGCCATCACGTTTATCATAAAGCTTGGTTGTTAGATTACCATTAACGTCTTTTTCAAGTAAAATATCCAAATATGAAACAGATGTGTCAGACTCTGTAGTATCTTTTATCTCAAGCTCACCGGGATATATCGTTTCGATATAAGAATGGAAATAACCATTGCTAATACGTTATATTTCCATTAGTGAACTCTTCAAAATTAGAGGCGCGTTTGGTCGTCTGACAGGGACAGCATGGCGTTGCGGATAATACAAAACATGCCAATCTCAATCCAATTTTTAATGTTAAATGTATTTGTCATTCCAATTAAAGAATAGAAGAACTAAAAGACAAATGTAAGAGAGCGAGAACCCTAAATTTATCATCCATTAATAAAAAAAAATACGACATTTCCGAGGCATGTGTATTGTATTTAGATGTACCATACGATAAATAGATACATACGATCAACAATAGATATAAATTAATATCGTTGTCATTCCTACTCTTGATGTATATAAAGTCCACAACAATAAAATATTTCATTTGCATTTTCTAAGGATTTGTTCATCGACATTCAACATTCTGTTTACATGTTTACGTTACGTTTGTCCCTGAAATCCCGCGAGATTTGTACATTTACAGACTTTTTCACAAAAGAGCGCACTAAGAAGTATAACTCTTCCATAGTGGAAATAGAACGTATTGAGAATACGTCGTCGGTATATCTAAGTGTTGAGTTGAAGGCCACAGCAAGTGTTTTCTTCTTTTCACGTATTAGATTTTGGACAAATTCTGCTTCATATGAATACAAAAAAAAAGGTCTGCTTATAACGGGGCGCAATTGGTACCCATGGAAATTCCAATAGATTGTTGGAAGACCTGGTATACCCTGTGCACCTTGTTTAGCACTTGTTCACTTTTGATCCTTTGATGTTTACCGCACAAAGAAGCTGTATTACTATCATGAAATTTTTAGCTTGATAATATCATATATATACATACCTTTAGTTTGAAATAATTATGATATTCTTCATGATAATATAATAACCCTTTTTTCAAATCTCAACAAATACTTTAAATAATAATATTTTTTAATGGATGGGGATGGTTTGACATACATTCAAATACAAATTAATATATACTTTATTTACAACTATTTATTTCTAATTCAAAATCGTCTCAAAATCCCAATACAGGTAAAGTTTGACTTCTTGGTATTTTACTGTGTATTAAATCACTTCCTGTGTATAGGGATTAGGAGACAAATAACCACAGGTAGACTGCAAGCCATCAAGGCATTCACACTTGTACAAAATAAGCCCCTCCCTCACCTAGAATTTACCACCCAGTAAAAATTTTTTAAAGATTTTTCCAAGTATTATACAATTTATTTTTTATAACAAGAACAGTCCATTTGTCATACATGTAAATGACCAAATCTCGGCGATAGGATGGGTTGATAGGGATATCTTTTCCGAGCATGGTGACCATCATAACCCGAGTCCTCTGTCCTGGGTGCGTCGTTTATCCAATATGGATAAAGTATGGGCGCATTCTTTTTATCATATCGGATATGTTTTAAAGTCTGAAGTCAATGATACTTTAGGGGTTAAATAATTATATTACTGTTAAAATATTCAACTATTTTTCTAACTGTAACTTGGCGATCTTTCATAACAAATTGCCCAACTAAGGACACATCTCTTCCCCAGCTTACTTTCACTGGGCACCAGAACAAACATCATTTTTAACCACCTCCCTTCCTTCACTAAAAGAATCAATCCAATTAATGATTAAACTTAATTCTGGCAAGTCTTTTGTCTTCACAAATATTGTACACATTATTATATGTTACTACAAAGGAGTTTCCAAGATACACATTAAACTTTACAGCCGTTCGTTGTTCGAGTATGACCGAGTCAACCATTTTTTGTCACAAGTCATCTACATATTGACGTCATTTTTACCTGTGACGTCACAGACATGGAGCAAAACATTACCTAACATCTGCTATTTATAGAAATGTGTATGACTAAATGTGTGCCAAATTTCACTCTGATCTGAATTGTGGTTTTGTAAATATAGAGATAGTTGGCGAACTTTTTGATCACCCTTCGTACTAATGGTGAAAGTGAAAATTCCTCAACATTTTTGCACATCTACTGGACACCATCAATTATATTCCAAAAGTAGATTGGCTACAGCTTAAAATTTAAGTCTCAGAGGAGTTTGTGGCAGGAGATAGTGTGACAGACGGACTGACAGACCAGGATAACAACTTTCTTAAGAAAGTTCTGGTATATAAACGCGATTATAATTAGTTATTGTTGAGCAGGATCGTATAATGGGTTAGTGGTCGAATAATTAAAATATTCGAGAAAGGTGTCTTAAGACGAACAAAATTGTGCCCAAACAAAATATCATTTTATACTATAATACTTACTATATTCGAAAAAGTTGTATAAAGACGGACATTATTGTGTCCAAACAAAATACTAGACTTACTCCATCGAAAAGAAAAAAAGTGTGTTTTTTTTCAGAATTGTACTAGTTTCCATGAAACGATTGAAATGAGGAGTCACCAAAATGATGGAGCTCTCTGATAATTTGGATTTGAAGGACTAAATCTTTTATTACTATATGTGTATGTTTTCGATATCGAAAGATAATGTGGGATAAAAGATTGAAATAATTTAGTCCTACATTATATTATCTTTTGATATCCAGTCGAAAACATTCATGTAAATATTTTGTAAACTGAACCATGTCAGACTCAAGTATACTGAAGGATACGATACCGACCTTATATATTTACATTTCTTTTGTGTCTAACATAAATCTTTAGTCGTAAAAGAGCTTTGTTGTGAACGTCTTGGTGCTAAGTACGGACGAGATTTAAATTCGGTAGACACCTTATTATGCTTTATCAGAGTGAAAACAAACATAATTTTGACATTCCGTATTATGTAAGTCAGCAACGGATAAGTGGCCTATCATTTTACTTCTTTTAATAAGGAAAATGAAAAAAAAAAATATTGAAAAAAAATCTACTTGATCTAATAAAATGATTTTCAAATTAATGATTCCGGCTCCGAGTCCAAAACTATTTTTTGAAAAGGGTATATTCAATGTACAACATTTCACAGCCAAAAATACCTACTATGACCAGAACCACTCACCTTGTTGTCACGGTGGTCTTATGGATGAAGTGCGAGCAGCTTCTAATACAGTAAAACACGCTTGTAACGAAGTGCCAGGGATGGACGATTTTGCTTTGTTATAAACGTAATTCGTTATATTCTTTAAGTTCACAATATATTTTTAAGCCACGGGAAATGAAAATAACTTCGCTGTAAACGTCAATTCGTTATAACTGTGTTCGCTATAAGAGTGTTTTACTGTATATACATAAACACGTATTCTGCAGAATTTCAACTTGCACATTACCTTCAAAAGTCGTTCTAAGGATTTCTTACTTCTTCACAGAAGCACTTTTATTTCCCGACATATTTCCATAGTATACATGTACAATTTCTATCTTTGAAAACAAATCAAAGTAATGGTCTTTTAATTCTCTAAGTATAACAAATTAACAATTCACTAACAAATAAGCACATAAAATATATAATCCTCTGGCTATTTCAAAGATTTTTGAGTAATCGTAACGTTTTATCAAAGTGAAAAATAGTACCACTTAATGTGTCGTATCTTATTTGCGAAAATTGCAAACTGAATATTTGCGTGCTTATTTCTATGCTACAAAAGGAGATATTCGATCAAGAAAAACAATTCTCTGTTAGATAGTGGTATAGGACAGACACGACATCGAGAAACAACGATTTCCATATTCATACAACATCCAGTCATAGTCACAATACAGTTCTGTATACAGAGAGAAAATTATAACAGAGTCTTTAAATGCTGTTTTCAGATCGCCCAAGGACTACGGCAGAATGATTGTTAGTTTGTAAGAGGGACTTACTGCACTTAGAAAAAAAATATTGTATTCAGAAAAACTCATTTTTTATGTTGCTAACATGCCAAAATGTTGAAATTGAATACGACTTTTTTTTTTTAGATGTTAAGATTTAATTTCCTTATAATTTTTTTATGAATAAAGAAATTGAGTCTAACCAGTCAATGTAAAAAAAAAATTCGAAAAAATGTTCACACGCATCAACCCTGTTTTGAATAGGTTATACAAACATATGAATCGAAAAAGTTATAAACAGAATTGATGAATACAAGATGCTTAAATACAGTGTACATTGATAGAACTGTTCACTCTACATGTATCACATGACTGCGCATGGCTACAGGTGCGCATAGTTAAGGTGAGTGATGCTTTCGTACAATGTTGAGGACATATCATCAGTCTATTTATCTTTGTGTCTACAGACTAGAACTGGACAGTGGGCATGGTGGACGACAAAATCACTGACGCTGCCCATAATTGTCCTCCGGAACTTGCCCATTCCTCTAGTGCCTGTGACAACAAAGGTTGCGTTTTCTTTCTGAGCGATGTCTACAATAGCGTGTCCTGGTTTGTCGGCGTTCTCTACTCTGAATTCCGCCTCAATCTGCCAAGAAGGTACGAGAAAAAATTTAAAATTAATCATTACTCACATAAATTTATTATCAGTTACATGTACCCTTTTGACTGTATAGGATCATACCCTGAATTGATCACATCAACCATGATACAGAAAAAGTGCTTGTGGTCAGCAGCCTCCCCCCCCCCCTCCCCCGATAAAATTTACCCCGGCTATATAAATCAAAGAAGTGCTGTAAAATAAACCAATTATAAAAAAAGATAATTATTAGACAATTTTATACCCCCAGTTTGCTTGCTTTGTCAATAAATTTCTGTTTGAGTTCCCCTGTTTTCCCGTCTGTTTCCCTCTGTAGTTCCATCACTCTGCCGGGACCTGTAAATAAGGAAACAAGGTCAATAGGTCAACAAACTCATCAAAAAAGAACCTTTAATGAAATAGACTGTAGCATTATGAAGCCTGATTATTTTGCGATAATTCTATCACAACTCAATTCAATTCATCTCAAACTTAACGAAGTTATTTATGTATTCACAATGTTTGCTCTCGCTTCGACGAGACCATTTTGATGGTATGTTAACATATAGACGTTATTCCACCTAAGTGTTTCATCAATCAGTCTAAGTTTACACCAGTTAACAACTGCAATATTTGGATGAATTATCAGCAAACTCAGAATTAACAGCGCTGAGTTATAATAACAGTGCTGTTAAAATCCCGCCGAAGTTTTTTGTTTGCTCTCGTTACACCGAGACATTTTGATCATATGTTGACAGAGATGTTATTTCGCCTAATCGTTTCATCAATCAGTCTATGATTACATTGGTAACATTTGGATGAAATATTACGGATCTCAAAGATCCTGACTAAAGAGCGTAGAAGTAATCAATCAATCATTCCTATAACTATGGATACAGCTTAGTCAGTATTACTGGACACCATTATCTCTGATAAATCAGTCTTACAATAACTGATCAAATATAATTATTTTATATAGAAGGTCATTGTCACAGTGATGCGATAATCACCAGTGATTTTGGAAAGCGATATTTTGTGTTTTATTGACAAAAGCGATCCTTGCGAACTATTTTCCACTCCATTGTCTGATATTTTCTTCTAGAAAAACTAAACAATCATGCATCTGAAAAAGAGCTATTGATTTTCGCTGCCATGTTTCCCAGAGGAAATCTAGTGGACACAAAAAATCGGGAATCAATCGCCATGAATGCAGTAACAGAGAGGACTTTGTAAATTCTATTTGCCTTCCGAGTCCTCAAAAATGGATTACATTATCGGAACGTCTGTACTACTTAGAGGGAAATCCGATTTCTGTAACCCTATAGAACATTAAAAAGACTTCCTCATTTCCATAGAAATGGGTTTAACATAACCATATACTTTTGCTTAGTTATCATCCAAAAAGCATGCCATATAGAATTAAAAAATCTCTAAAAATGCATTTTACAGCAATATGGTTTAAAGGAATTGATTCTTGACGAAATTTTCATGAAGGATAGTTTTCTGATATGATTAAAATTATGCTTTAAAACATTTCTAAACGCTTTTATCCATTGTGATGACTTTTTTTTTTTTACATCCATTACATATTAATAAGTATTTGTAATCTAATCAGCCTCTGACCTTCTCTGAAACATGACCTTGAGTTGTATCTAAGTCATTAGTCATTCCAGTTGGTACAAAATCGTGTTCTTGTTTTCAGTTACATTTGATCATTTGATATAAGAATTGTACATATAACCGTGGATTACCCGAGAGACTTTGACCTTGGAATTAAAAAGATAATCTTGACAAATTATTAAAGAAGTTTCCATGGAATCAATTTTGACCTTGAAATCATGGAATGAATACACATCGGTTCATCAGAGAGGTGTATGCTGTGCAAGTGCTAGTGATTATAGAAATCCGCTCTGCAGCTTCCCGCGCAATTAATTAGAGATAACGTGCAAGAAAAATATGCAGTAGCTGATTTAGGAATGTCCTGAATGCACGCAAAATGTGAGCTAAGTTATTGCTTGTGAATATGTCACAGGTGTAATATGAAAGGAATATTTTCGGTAAAGACCAATATTTGCTCCCCAAATCAAACTTTGATGGAGAAATATATAATTATGTTCTAAAACTTACACGGTATTTGCAAAGTGCCTCCAGGTATTTGGTTTCTCTTGATCTAATGTTCATTTGTAAGGTATTTTGTCTCATTTCTATTTATCTATTATTTATAAGTCTACCTGAACTCCACGAGCCCTGTCTCATGGGTTACGAATTTCACAATTTCTGAAGAAGCACTCTTGCTTATCATAGCCGTCCACTTAGTTTTTCTGGTAAATACTCGGAGGCAGAGATTTTCAATAGTTAATGCATTTTTCACTATATGATCAATAGGGCCCTGTCACCTGTCCCAAGGTCATGAATTTTACAATTTTAAAAGAGGCACCCTAGCTTATCATAATCATGCACTTAAGTTGTCTGTCTGATACCCAGGAGCAGAGAAGATATAGTGCATCTGCACTGTATGAGCAAAAGGGCCCCGCCCCTAACTCCAGAAACCCTGACCTAGAGGCCATGAATTTTACAGTTTGGGAAGAGACACCCTTCCTCATCATAACATTGCACTTTGTTTGTCTTATAGTTATACCCAGCTGGAGCAGAGAAGAATATTATCAAAGAGATAATGCATTTTCAATATATGATCAATAGTGCCTAACACAAGAATTCCTGACCCTGGGGCCATCGATCAATTTCACAATTCTGGAAGAGGCACTGGTCATGCTTCATAACCACGCACTTAGTTTGTCTGCTAAATATACAGGGGAGAGAAGATTTTTGAAGAATTTTAACTATATGATCTTTAGATCCTGTCCAAACACCGGAATCCCTGTCCCTGGGGCCACGAATTTAACATTTTTTGGTAAAGGACGCATTGCTTTATAAAATGATGCTAACAGTTTAACTGGTTCATGTCAAAGGGTAAAGAAAAGGATTTTTGAAGATAGTACTATTTTTTGAGATTTTGCCCTCCCCCTTTCAGCACCTGGGGTAGGTACCATGAAATTCACAATTTTTGTTTCCTTTTATCCATCTATACCTTATTTTGTTGAAATTGGTTCAGTGGTTCAAGAGAATGAGATGGAACTGTTCAAAAGTTTACGACCGAGCACAACGCATACCAGCACGACAATGGACGAAAACAGGTAGCAATAGTTCACCTGAGAGAGCAAAAAAATTCCAGGTACTGTAATATTGTTAGGGGATCTTTTTTTCTTTAGTCATGTGATCATCAAAAGAAAAGTGTTAGTAACCAGTATTTATGGAACGCCGGGACTGTCTTATATGAGGATTAAACATTATATGCAGTGTTCTCTTCATTATATGTGGTACTATTTTAATTATATGAAGTAGTTTTTACAGTATATCGTGTGCAACTTCCATTATATACAGTACTTCTTTCATTATATGATGTAGATGTGTCATTATATTATGTACATCTATCATTATATGAGGTGTTTTTATCATTATATGAAGTACTTTTAACATTATATGCGGTAGATCTAACATTATATGCAGTGAACACAACACTATATTATGTACTTCTCACATTATAAACAGTATATTCATCATTATATGTAGTATTTCTGTTATTATGATGATGCTGATCGTTAAATATTATGTCCGGTCCTGTCAGCATTCCGTGTGGTAGATTTTGCATTTCGTTATGATGTAGACACAGTATTATATGCGGTGCTTTCTTCTTTATGTGTATGATCTTTCGGAAGCTACCTTTCGGAACTCTCTGTTAAATATAACAATTAATGCTCCGTGAACAGGTTAAGATATGGGGTAATAGAGTAAAATAAAATCCATTCTATTTCATGGTATGAAGTAAAGAGAGAGAGAGGGGGGGGGTGTTGATAAAAATATTTTGGGAGTGGAAAAAAATTTGAGGCATTTTCTATCTTTTTTGTGAACAATATGACTTTCAATAAGATTCATATCATATATAGGACAATCAATGTCAAAAAAGATAATAAAAAAACAGGGGCGTCGGCAAGAATTTGACATTGGGGAGGCGAACTGGATCGAAAAGGGGGAGGGGTCCTAACCAACTTAAATAAGACTTCAGCCAAAATCTTGATATTTTCATTTTCTGATTAATAAAGAACAGTTAAACATGCAACCAAAAAAATGTTTTATGTGAATTAAGTTATATGCACTATAGATTAAAAAAAACGGAATATTTTTAATTAGCTAGGAGCTAGTGTTTTTTTTTTTTCCGAAACGGCATAGAAAGAACTTTGAAGGGTTTATGAGGTAAAGATTAAAATACATATAATTTTCTATTATTGTATAATATTTATTGTTACTCGCCGAAAGAATGCATAGTTATGAAATTTAAAATGAACAGGGTGACTAATCCTTCATAGTCCCCCCATTTTTGAAATGCAGAAATGTGTATGACAAAAAAAATCATCTGAAGTTGTAACCTATTAAAATTAAAGCAATATACTAAAATACTGGGTAACAAATACTATTTAAAACAACTTCGATTCATCAAAGATTTCCAAACATCGATAGACCAATTCATTAGACAATGAACAGGCCTGTTATACGCGGGGGGGGGGGGGGGGTTCAGGAAGGGGTGCTCTAATTTTTTTTTTACCAATTTCTCCACTTTTTCTGAGAATAGTTTTTTTTTTTAAATTAAGTTTCGATATGTAGAAATTCATTAACTTAGACGCTGCTCCCCCCCCTCCTTTCATACACACTTTCCTGTCAGGTCGAAATCGGGTAAATTCCAAAAGAATTGAAAAGAAAAAAAAATCCGGCAACTTAGAGAGTCCCCCCCCCCCCCCAAAAAAAAATAGAATTTCCAAAAACGTTTCTAGCTGTGGGCCTGATGAAGAATTTGTAGCAAACTTGCACGTAGAGCGATGGATACCATGCTAATTGTTTACAAACGCCAGGTAAAGGTTATAATTATACACGTACATCCCAATTTGCGTCTGTGTAAACAATAGCTTTCACACTTCGCCGCTCCATTGACCACAGATATTGCCAATACAAATGTTGTAATTTTGTTTTTCTCATTTATTTTTCTTTCATTTTTCATTTTTTTTTTTGGTGTGTGTGTATGTGTGTGTGTGTGTGTTTTTTTTTTCAAAATTATCGGGGCGGCGATCGCCGCCCCTTTGCCGACGCCCCTGAAAAAACTAACTGCATTCCTACGCCTTCGAGTACGCAGGGCTTAAACAACGGCTTATAGAAAACACTACATGTATTTACTTATTTGTTTGTTTTTTAGGGGTGGGATGTGCTAATTTTTCACAATGTAAATTACCCTTTTATCTCTCATTTTATATATATATATATATATGTATGTGTATATATATATGTATGTGTATATATATGTATATATATATATATATATATATATATATATATATATATATATATATATATATATATATATATATATATATATATATTACTGGGTAATTTTACCACATATCTTTTTAAAAATAAAATCTTGAAGTACAACCCACGACTCAATACATTTTCTGTTCTGAAAATCGTTTATCTTTTCCTGATACATTGCATAACATACACATAGTATTTAACTAAAGACAATTTCGGCAATTTTTTTATACGCCATAGTTTAACAATTAATACTATGGAACAATAAAATTATTTCAGTAATACATTGTAATAAGTGCATCTCTCTCTCTCTCTCTCTCTCTCTCTCTCTCTCTCTCTCTCTTGTAAACTACTGAAGTATTGACATGACTTCGAAATTCCTTTAATATGGGGATAAATATTGTGTGGTATGTGATTATTCCGCGATGCTTTGGTTGACGTGTGGTTGATTACCAATTATTATAGATAACCCAAAATCATTAAGAATTTTCATATCTAAGAACAAAAAAAGGTAGAACTTTCTAAATCTAACAAGGGGGGTTCCGAATGGTAGCTTCCGAAAGATCATACACATAAAGAAGAAAGCACCGCATATAATACTGTGTCTACATCATAACGAAATGCAAAATCTACCGCACGGAATGCTAACAGAACCGGACATAATATTTAACGATCAGCATCATCATAATAACAGAAATACTACATGTACATATAATGATGAATATACTGTATATAATGTGAAAAGTACGTAATATATTGTTGTGTCCACTGCATATAATGTTAGATCTACCGCATATAATGTTAAAAGCACTTCATATAATGATAAAAACACCTCATATAATGATAGATGTACATAATATAATGACACATCTACATCATATAATGAAAGAAGTACTGTAGAAAATGGAAGTTGCACACGATATACTGTAAAAACTACTTCATATAATTAAAATAGTACCACATATAATGAAGAGAACACTGCATATAATGTTTAATCCTCATATAAGACAGTCCCGGCGTTCCATAAGTATTGACTACCTTTTTTGCTCGCTTATCATGAATTCATAGTTCTCCAAAACTTAATTTATGGTGAATTTTATCACTTTCCAACAGGAAATCGAGAACAAGACAGTTTAAGATTTTGAAAAGAAGCATTTTCGTTCATGTACATTTGCTTTTGCACTGGAACTTAGTTTTTCAAAACAATTCAACTGACTTGAATATCGATCACAAATTTTGAAGCTGGAACAATTTTAGGAGAAGTCATTTATTTAAGTGTTCTCACCATCATCTGAGCTGAATATATGAATAAGCATTACCCTCGCAAGTACATTTACAGCGGAAAAAGTTTATGTTTTCTCATTCTCGATTATTTAATCATGCGCCTCAATGTCGCCAGCATTTTATGAGGCTTTAAAGCGAACTATTTTGGCTTTTTCTTAAACATTACTGAGTGTGACACTAAAAGTTTTTACTCTCTGTCTTTTTCTCTCTGTAGTTAAGGCTTTAGAGTGTACACAAACTCTTATTATTGAATTATCATATAGTCTAACCTGTTTTTCACGAAAATTTATATACTAGTAAATCACGGCTACTGGAAATTAACTATATATTGTATACACACATATAATATAGTTACGTTAACTTCCAGTACCTGTGATATAAACATTAAAAGGGCCAACGATAAAGTATATACGATTTAATTTAAGGATTGTATCTATCATTATGTGAAAGATGTGATGACCGACACAATTTGAATACCGGTATTTCGCATGCGCAGCAGCGGCAAATTTTCACGCGCTCCCAGGTTAGTTTAAACTATATTTTATTTGAAAATGACAAGCAGAAAATACAGGCAAGTAGTACAGAAAATCAAAAAGGATTCGGAAACATGTTTTGAAAACATATACTAATCCGGCTCTCAGGTTGATTATCATCCTCATATATACCAAAATTAGTTATTTTAACCCAACTTCCGGAACAAACTTGATAAATATATAGGTATGAATAGAAACTATAATTAAACGCTTTGTTTTTATTGCCTTCCCAATCTGGCGCCCGTTTCTCTTCAAAATCGATATAATATAGACAACCAAACAAGAACACATTCGTTTACATGTCATGCGAGATGAAATTCAATTATGAAAGTACATGTATATACTTTAACATCAAAATACCTGTATTAATGGTATGAAATAATGAATATAAAGCAAAATATAGCAATATCAAGCAAAGTTACTTGATATTCCCACAAATATTTGCGAATAGAAGACAAACTTCTATTTGATTTTGTTTATTGCAAAAACACTTTCAAGATAAATAATCTGGGAAAAAAAATCTTTCGATCAGTTTTATAATACCTTGCCTTTGTATATGTTATAATAAAATCACTCACTCATTGTAGTGGCATTGATGTAACTCTCCGGAATGTGAAGTAGAATAACTTTGTTTCCAGGTTTGTGGAAATTCGTGACATACCCTGAAAATATAAATATTTATTTCTGAGAGTTTCAGTGTAGAATATTAACTTGTATATGTTGTTTACATGTGCTTGAAAAAACTTAATTGTGTGTCCATGAAAAAAAATTGCTTTTAAGTCAATAATTCCGCTACTCATACATAATACATGTATCTTTATCGCTGTGAAGAGAGAATGTACTGATATGTATAAACCCAATCACGTACAGTTGTTTACTTTAAAATGTAGAATTACCAGGTGCGTATGTTCACGTAGTTAAACATGAATATTATCTCTATATGGGTATATTTCTCAGTTCATTTGCCAGAAAAAAATCTGTTACATGTACATGTACCCATCAATCGAAGCAATCCATGAAGTTGAATATTGGCGAGATGTTTGTTTCATTACAACCATTTCCAATAATAGTCATTAATACAGAATCTGATATTGAAGATACAAAGCGTATCGACTCCCCTAGGGCTTTCGTCCCCTTTTTAAAAGTATGAATTTTGAAGCAATGAATTATTGAAAGACGAAAGATCATTCCATTTGAAAAAGCAGCTCATTAAAAAAAAAAAAAACCCATAATGTCATGTTCTGTGCAATTTGTTAGCTCATAAAATCTTTGCCAAATACTCAGGATCGGCATATAATTTTATGTTCTTGACATACGGGAGAAATCCCATCTTTCATGAATAATACTTTCAAGCTTACAGGGAAATCGATTAACAAACAGGAGGGAATTAATATTAGTAGAATTGTGTTCTGATAACTGTCAAGGTCTCTTCCACAAGAGAAATCCTGGGATTAATTGAGACACAATTTTCACACTTAGCACACAAAGCATGGGGAACAATAGATGAACTTTTTGTACATTTTTATCAGCGTGCTCTCTGGTATAAATACAGTAGATTTTTGAACAGGGCATCCACAGTGAAGCATTCTTCGCAGTGAGAACGCTGTGAACAGCTGTCTTACATAGAGCGAGCTAAGCAGTACATCTTGTAAGCTGTCATTTCTTGCTAACTTTTTACTGATGTATTGTGATAATACACAAGATGTTCTAGGTTTGCAAACCTGTTTTCGACCAAAAACTACAGAAGCAAATCAAATACCGTAACTATCTATTTATCATCATGTATAATGAAAATGCCGTAAATCGAAAAGCAGAATCCATATCTCCATTGTATGAAGAATAAAAAAAGAGGGCTAAACCTTTGCACTCGGATTTTTATTAAGAATCACGTTTATTCGAGTGCAAAATTGGGTTCTGGGAATAGATAGGCGTGAACAACGAGACACCGCCATCACTCTGGATTTAAAGCAGAATATTACCCTCAATGTTAATGTCCACTTCTACCTGATAAGGTATTTTGACCAACACACAGTGTTAAAATAACCCAGGGCAATTGAGTGGACTTAAATTAATGTCCACTTCTACCTGATAAGGTATTTTGACCAACACACAGTGTTAAAATAACCCAGGGCAATTGAGTGGACTTAAATAAAATTTAGGGTCAGACTGTTATTAGACGGTTTTGCATGTATTAAAGTTCAAACAGTTCACAGTTTTCTTGAGAGATGTTTTAAAATTTCAAATTCATGTTCATAAATATTTTGCCTTCCTGAACTACACAGACATATCCGTTTACAGCGAAAATACTTCACCAATTTTTTGTTTGTAAAACATGAATGAATACACGAATTAGGTTTTAAAACAATTGACAATAGATTTAAATGGCTTACGACATACAAAAAAAATTCAATGCACTTAACATGTGCACACTTGCTTGTTCATAAAAATCTAGACCACGATTTCCTGATCACAAATAGAAATATATACAACTTCCTTCTCTCCTACTTACGTCTTATGAATGAAATATCTAAGTCGTTTACTCTAAATCAATGGAAAAATGACTACAAACTTCATCCCACGTGTAAAAAATAGGTTTACTTACATTCGAATGCATAGTCGGCAAAGTCACTTTCATCTACAGAAATAACTACCGTGGCCATACTTAAAAATCTCTCTATACCCACGACAAACGGAGCTTTAAATGAGGTTAAATATTAATTCCTGGTATTTAAAGCAATCAGAAAAAAGGTCAAAGGTCACTATTGGATAGTATCCAGCTCCTTATTTATGGAATATTCACAATTTCTCTGTTGCACTTGATGTAACCAGGTTCCCCTTAATGAAACTTGTTTGTTTACCCAACAGGCAATATTGGATTATTGTAATGAATCCATGCACATTGCTCGCAATTGACCGGAAATTTCTGAAGTAAGGAGCGGATCAAATAGTTTACTTAAGAAATATTAAGGTTAATAGATAATTTTCATTTTAATCAAGTGAATGCCACAGATAACCTTAATTTCTTGTGTTAGGTTCGAATATAGTTTTATGTTGATTAAGTTAATTACTTTGTATTATAAATTAATGATCTCTCCATGCTTAATGATTGAAAATCATGAAAACAGAGAGTTAAAGTTCTTGATACATGTATCTATCTTAAAATATGTTAGCATAGCACGAATATATTTTTTAAAATTCTGATAGTAACCAAGAAAAAAACATATTAGATATATTTGAGACTTTTTTTTTATTTCACTTAAGCCCTCGACATGGTATGATAGTACAATGAATATTTAACAATGGAACAAATCAGTATGTGAACATTTAACAAAATGAACAATAAAAAGATCTATATACTACTGGCATTTGTTAAAAATATTTTATTGCTTATGTTGTAGGAAATTTGAAATAATTTAAGAACAGTTTAACAAAGCTTTGTCAGATCTATTTAGTTTATATATATCAGAGGTATTCATCAAATAAAAAGATACTGTGTTTGAAATCATATAAATATTGCTAGGTATAAATTTCTGTCTTCGAATCTTAAAAAAATACAACTTGAACATTCTATAATTAAAGCATTTTGAAGAATTTCAAACATTTAATATTCCAACCTTGGATAAAACCATCCCTTTATGTATTCTTAACCATTATCATACCTATCTTGCTTGAGTTATCAACATGCAAAATATTCTTATATATAACTTCCATGAACCATTTTGAATTGTAAAAAAATCTTAAATAAACTGATACAAAATTCAGTACAACGTGAAGGAATTTTTTTCTTTTTTACCACACAAAATCCTTTGCCAGAAACCAGTCTTTCTAGATATTACTGGTATAGTAAGTGGTAGTCTACCATTTCTCAATAAAAAATACAATGAGGAATAAACTTTTTAACTACCGTTATCATTTTTCAAAAACAAAATTTCATGTAAAATACTGGAATTTTCAAAACCCCATATTCCTACACCATACAGCAAAATAGGAACAACCATGGTGCCAAAATCTCGCAGTTTCATATCAAACGGTAAATTTAATTTTGTGGATTTTCTAGGAACAATATACCTAGCTTTTCTGGCGTGTTGCAATTTTGTATCATTAAAAGTACCTTTATTGGAAAAAAAAATATCCCATTTTTTTCTTAACAATTTATAGTTTATTACCATTACACATAGAATGTAAAATATCAGTGTTAATGTTAGAGCGAGAAAAAATAATTTTTGCTTTAGGCGCATTAACTTGCATTTTCCAATGTACATGTACATTGCATTATGAAAAGCTGGTAGGTTAGCAGCTGAGTCTACTAAATAACTGTATCATCAGCATACAACAACAAATACAAACGATAATAAACAATAATCTCGTCAGTATCTAATAAGTGAACTGCCGTGTTCATATCTACAAGACCATTATATTGATTTTAGTCAGTCGAGTTATCCTTCGTGTATGTTTTACTTTACAGGAACTTAAAATTTATTTTCATAACATACAGAGTAGCAGAAAATGAAACTCATGATAAGGGAAAAATGGTTTGTTTTTTTTTGGCTTTTGAAGTCTACTTTAGATAAAGGAGGAATAAAATTACAACTGGAAATATGTACGAAACTATGTACATATGATATATACTTACACTCAAAAGCGATATCCGAAGTTTCACTTTCATCAAGCGCTATAACAACTGTTGCCATTTTTTCTCGTTAGGTACTGAAAACTTTTACAGAGTGGAATGTGTCTGCAACAATGGTCCTTTTAAATACGCAGTCCTTAGGCTAATTATGATAAATTGCTTTGCAATGTAAGGGGAGTAACTCTCATTGAAGTTTCTGAAAAGTTTTTTGCATATTTGAATGTCTTGTGGCATACAATTTTTTTTTTTGAGGGCGGATTTCTTTGTGCGACTTCGCAAAAGTTGACTTTTTAGAGAAATACGACCGTCAGCGTTATTGTAAATCCAAGCTTAATGTGCTACAAGTGCTAAATAAATCATTTATTAATTTGCTAAATAGGACCGAGAAGGTCTCTTTGGCAGTCCAGTTCCTCGTTACGTTCTTGTCCGTGACAGATTTACGTGTGCAGAAGAGAGCATATTATTGATTCGATGAGAACTTATTACTGGCGAAACGGAAATACTCATTTTCATGTAACATCAATGATTTTGTGAGTAATATGCTCTTAAGCTTTGCTTTTTTTCTGTCGTAAAAGGTTTTTCCCCCCTTTTTTTGCGAACGAATCGATAGCAATTTCTCTTTTTATGACAACTTATCATTATTTTAATTTAGGTAGACGTATCATCCAAGCATATACATTGTATATGTTATAGTAAACGAATTCCCGAATCACAATCATAAAAAAATTCCATTGTTACCTTTCTATAAGTGACAAAAATACATCGCCACCAAATACATGTAACTCATACATCTGATACAGATAAGTGTTATTTTTCTCCTTTTTCCTTTTTTAAAAATAAATTATACATTGCTCCCTTAGATTACCGTCACGCACGTCTCCGTTGAAGAAAGTAACACTTTTAAGTAATGATTGAATTATATTTTTCACACTTATTGGTATAAACAGATCCGCCTTTCGTGGCTCTGTTTCTTCCTCGTGAGGAAGGGCACTAACCTTTATCACATATATATTTATATTTAAACCTGCAGTA